ATCAGTGTGACAAGCGATGCGTGACTACAGGCTGCCAGGGTCCTCCAGCATGATGAAGGCAAAGGTTGAGCTGAAGCCCGGATATTTGTGGAGATGTCTCACTCAAACTCTAGGGCTGAGTCAGGATTATAAAGTGTTCTGGGGAATGGGGTCTATTATGTTTAGTTACTTTCTCCATCTGTTTTGCTTTTCTTCCTCAAGTGTTCCTGCAATTCCAGAAAGTCCTGGAAAGTCAGAGAGCACTGTGAGTAATCATTACTTAGAAGAAAGGCTGGATGTTCTTGGAAATGGGGGGCAACCAAATCTAGTTGAAAGAATTCAGAGCATTGAATACTTCATTGAAAATATATTAAGAAATATTTCTGTAAATGAATCAGATAACACACCCTTTGCTATGCTTGTACGTCATCTGGATAATGATTCTAATGTGCCTTTGTATAAAGCTTTGGACTAGTTAAAGAATAAAACGAGCTAGGCCTCCATGGTGTACATTAAACCCTACTGAAAAAACTGAAGTATTAGCTGGAATTTCCAAAGCAATAGAGCATTATAAAGGGTCATATTATTGCCATGTTCATTATATAGCAACTGCCTGTCAGACTTTACAAAAAGTGAAAGAAACTTTTGAGAAGTGGCCAAACTAGTAACCACACGTCTAACATCTTGTTGAAATGCACCTTGTAAGACCGCATGTTTATGATGTTATCCTTTATTAATAGCTTACTGATCTGTTTGCGTCAGCTGTTTCTTACAACAGCAAATGTTAGATTTTTCAAAGTAAATGTCATGTATCTGGCATAGTGACAAGAAGGATTGTATAAAAAGTTCATTTATACTCAGTAAAGTTGGCAGCATCACAATCTCTCTCTGGTGTTGTGTTGTCTGTCCCGCCGAATCCGTTCCCACCTGACATCTTCACCACATCCCTGGGTCGGTGTCGAGATCGCTCACATCCCAGTCTGCAACAGTTTACATCTGGCAGGTCTGATGTCCCAGTTAGGCTGTCTGGGGCCATCAAAATCCCCTGGCTCTGGGGTCGAAGTTGCTATGGTCAGTGGGTCATGCAGATCCTCAGATGTCTGAAATGTCTTTGCTATACATATATCTGTAGGCTCTGAATCCCCTTTTCCCACATGACCTGGCATCTTCTGGCTCTTTCCTATCAGTCCTTCTTTTGTACATAGGAAGGCCTGGCCATGCTAGGCCTCCTTCTGCTGCTCTGTCAAGAATTTACAGGAATGCATTTATTTGTTTTCCCTCATTTGCTTCCAGGGAAGAGCTGAATTGTTGCAGGTAAAGACTCAGAAATGTCTATGAGAATAAACACAACATTCTAAACTAAATCTTTTCATATATACCCTAAGCCTTCCTAGTATTTGCTCAAACATAAGATCATGTAACTGCTTCCTGTTAGAATGATTTATCAATTGCTATTTCCCATGAAAAATAAGGTGACCCTCCCTGCAACAATCTTACAGGCCAAAGTAAAAGTAGAAGTCACAACTATTTCAAGCCCTTTCCTAAGAATAATCCATAAGGAATTTGCTAATGAAGAGAACTAATCTGCAAACTAAAGACATGACCTACAGAAAGCAGCACCATGCAGCCAGAACTCAGGGGATCAACAAAGCCATCGTCATGTGCTGCAGTTGGGGTGGTGGTTCGAGTTGGTATCTTTATTGGGGTCCATGTTTCCTTTATTCCTGGGGGATATCAAAGACTGTGGATGGCAGAGATCTTATCAGGGAATCCACTTGGGAGAGTGTTTCAATGATGTTTCAGGTGGGAGACACAGTGATTGGAAGTGCCCAATACAAGAACATTTGGGAGCATGAAGGAAAACTCCTCGCTGCACAATTGGTGAAGCATGGGATTACCAACCTGTGTGTCACTGGGGGTAATGGGAGCTTCACCAGGGCTGACATCTTCTGTTCCGTGTGGAGGGACTTGTTGAGTGATCTCTAGAAAGCAAATGAGGTCACAGAATAAGAGGCCATGAAGTCCAGCTACCTGAATATTGTGGGACTTCCTGGTATTGACGTGACCATTGGTACTGACTCTGTCTTACACTTATTATAGATTACAGAGATTGTAGATGTCATTAGTACCACTGCTCAGAGTCAGCAGTGTTGGTATTAGAAATGATGGGCTGGCACTGTGAATGCCTGGCTTTCGTCACCTTTCTCTCCTGTGGGGTTAACTTGATTTTTATCCTTGAATTTCCATAGGATGACTGGGAGGAATATTTTTGTCACAGTGAGACAGGGGCTTGAGGCTCTCATCTCAACATCATCATTGTGGTCAAGTGTGCAATTGACAAGAATTGGAAGCCAATCATGTCAGAAGACATCAAGAACCTGGGATAAAGCATCTGGGACACTCAGGTCACTGATTTGGGGCATGTGCAGCAGAGTGAGACATCATTAGCCTTAGACCAGTTCCCAGACAATTGGATGGGTGTGGACACCGATGGCACTTTTAGAAGGGAATCCAGACACCCTGGCCTGTGTGAGAGCCTCTCTGGTAACCAGGCTATATGTGTGCCAGCCCTGGAGTGTGACCATCTGACCAAGGCTATGGACAAGAAGAAATTTGATAAAGACCTAAAGTTGAGAGGCTGGAGCTTCATGACCTGAGAAGTATACAAGTTTCTAGCTCATGTCAGACTCCTAGTATCTAAGACATTTTCACATACTGTGGTTGTGACAGATGTGGGCACACCTGCTGAAGTCATGAATGCTGCTGTTCACTCCACTGTGAGACTCAGCCTCATCCAGGGCGACCACTTGCTGGGTATTCATGTTGATTTCAAGGGCCTGGCCAAGGGTCAGAGTGTCAAAACTGGTTGGGGCTTTGTTGGAATCTGGACTGCATAAGTGGCTCTAAATTTGGGGCTAAAAGGACTCTACCCAAGAGATCCATGTCAACATAACATTTGGGGCCTTGACATCATTGTAGCTTTGAGGCTTACACAGGGAGCCTGGAGCTGATGTAGGGCAGGTAATAGTTTTATGAGCTCCACATCCCATTGCAGTTTTTCCTGCTATTGTCTCCAACAATGTCCCTGGCTCAGTCTTCAGCATTGAGGCCAACACAGCACTCAGTACAATCTGCATACGGCCTGTGATAGCATCAAACAGTATCAGGTACCAAGCAGTAGGTGTTTGTCACTGAGGCTGTGGGTGGTAGCTGTGGCTACCTGGCTACCATGGAAGGACTGGCAGCTGGGGCTGATTGATGCAGCCTACATTTTTGAGGAGCCTTAACCATTTGAGATCAGCAGGTGAATGTTGAGTATCTGGTGAAGAAAAGGAAAATAATTGTGAAAATAAGTCTTGTGTTAAGGAATGAGAAATACAATGAGAACAATACCACTGACTTCATTTTCAACCTGTACTGAGAGGAGGGAAAGTGCACCTTCAATAGTAGGAGGAATTTCCTTGGCAACACACAACAGGGTGGGAGCTCAACTCCATTTGCCAAGAATTTTTCCACTAAGATGGGAGCTAAAACGACAAACTGGATATCCTGGAAAATAAAAAAAAAAAAAAGTTATTGTGTTATCATAGTAGATGGGTCTTTGCCAACACTCTAGACTCAGGCTGTGTTGTGGGAATGCATAAGAGGGCCCTAGCCTTTCAAACAGTGACTGAGCTGGAAGGATCACATGAATTTTGGACACTGCTTTTCAAGGACCAATGGTGGCTAAAGTGAGGCCCATCCAGAAAATCTTAGCCAAGTATGAGATCTGTCAAAAATGGTTTGGGCAAGCTTCTGTCACTCTTTTGAGTGAAGGAATGGATTATATGACCATGCACTCCTTGGTCTATCATTGCAAGTCTATCAGTGCTACTAGAATTCAACCTTGTGAGCACAGGCACTGATATACTTCAGTTACTGAGTATTTTCTTAAAAATAACTTTATTTATTTATTGGTAATAACAAAGAGTCTTGATCCCTCTTCTTTACAATAGTGATAAGTTAGTGACTACCCTAATGAATGCCAACTGGTCACTGTGGGAAAAATCCCCAACCAAACAAAACCATTTCAAGTCCCTTTATTTAAGGATATTTTTTATTCATTATGGATTGATCATTGTCTTTAGTTAGTCTCAAGGCAGAGCTTGTCTGCCAGGCTGTTTTCTTCCATTCCTCCTCTCAATTTGAAAAGCCACCTTCCACTCGCCCATGGCCAGGGTCCTGGCAGGACAGAGTCCTCTTTAAGCCATGCAGATCTCAGGGCACTCTCTGTATTTCTAGAGCCAGGCGCTCAGCCGGCACTGGATCCTAAAGAATGACATAGGCTCTTCAGTCTTGCCTAGTTTATGTCATCTTCTTGGAATCTTGTGATGAAGATGCAGGAAGCATCAGAACAATTTCTAGAATGCACTTGGCTCACTTGCCTGACCTCTCCCTCCCCCTAAATGAGCAAAGGCCTGCATTGTTCCTGTAGTGGCTCTGGAACTTCTGCCCACTGCCTGGCCTTGCTCCTCCCCTTGGACAAGAGTTTGTGACCTCCACTTCTCATCCTGAGCAGTCTCACTTGGGACCTTAAGGCTATTATTAACAATTGTCATTGAGATGCTGAAGCTGCAATCTGTCTCTGGACTTTCAGAGGTGGAATTATTGTGTCAGAGATGAGACTGATTATAAGGCTTGATGATTGAAGACTCTCACATCAAGAGTAAGGGAAACCCAGTGGTGCTTGCTGGGGTTAATTATCTGTTCCTCCTGGGTCCAAGGAGGTGGTCTGTGCAGTATTGTTTGAAGTGGGAATTCTGGTCTCCTTCTGGATAGTGTAAGGAGGGACAGTGACCAGGCATATTACAGCCTGGATGGCCCCAAAGGCCCAGCTAGTTGGGGCTTTCTGGCTGCATCTTCTACTGCTGACTGGGGAAAACTCTGTTTCCAGAAGGACCTCCCATATTGAGAAACTACAGGTAAGGCCATTGCTCTGTGGAGACTCCTTCTCAGTCAGTGCCCCACGGGAAACAAATGGCTTAGAAGAGGCCCGAAGCTGTGACAGAGGACATGAAGAGTGTAGACTTTGGTGAAGGGATTATAGGGGTGGTATCAGAGACGTTCTCCTCCGGCTGGCTATCTCCATCATCCTGATCCTCAGTCAGAGATGGGATGATCCTGACGACATTCTCTTCAAAGTGCACTTGCTTCTTGCCTAGTGAGTCCGTGGGCTCTAGGGTAAGCTCCATCAGGGTGTCTGGAGGCTGGCAGGCACCGGGCTTCTGGGAACCCTTCAGGATGCTCTTCATGTGGATGAAAAGAGATCCTGGTCCCTCCTTGAGGGCTCCATGGAACTTATAGGTTTGTTCAGTATCTCCGGAGCCAGTGGTATTTACAGTGCTGCTGGAGGGGTCGGTGTAGCACTCTGGAGTGGATGGTCCCCAGGGAGCTGCTTTGCTCTTCTTCCGCTTGCTCAGCACAAAGTAGGCCAGGCCAGTAATGATGAGCATGGAGCCTGCAAAAGACTTGGATGGTCAGTGGTGTGAAGAAACCCAAAGACCATTTATTATTTCCCTTTCTTTCTCAGAGAGAGAGAGAGAGAACGAGCTCGTGTGTGCAAGTGCATCAGTCCCGGGGACTAGGTCATCCTCCAGGAGGCAGGGCTTGTAAATAGTTGAGTGACCACTTTCTAGGAGACCTAAGCTACTGAAGAGCTCTGGATTCTGAAGACCCTCCTTACTGACCTAATGTTGCTGCTTGGACTCCCTTACAATGCTCCACTTCCTCCTCCCTCAGGACAGCTTCCTCGGCTGGACCTGTGAAGCTTTTCATTAACCTGGACCCTAGATTTATTGCAAGACCCACTGCTGCATTAGACTTAATTTAATTCCCAGAAATGGCATAAGCCCTTCACATTAGCACCCCTATAGTCCTTTGAGTACAGCTAAGTACTGTGTGTGCTTCTCTGTGGGGTCAGCCCAGTGTTCTGCTGCTTTCAGGGTTCTGCATGATCCTTTTCCCATCTCGGAAGAAAGGGGTGGAAGGGGCTATGCTGCTTTCCAAGACCACAGCTCCTGTGTTCCCCAGGAATAGAGATTGTCGCTTGTACTGGCTTGGTCAGAACTGAGTCTTTCTCAGGGTCCCCCTGGAGAACTCATGCAGGACTCACAGTCCTGAGAAGCTACTTGTGTTCAAAGAGCTCTCAGGAAGGATGAGGATGGCTTTGCCTTTCCACTGGTGTCCCTTGGGCAGTTGACCTTGTAGCCCTTTAGATGAATCATATAGGAAGGGCACACTTTCTAAGAGGGAAGGGCAAAAGAGGGTGTCAGAAGAAAAGGTCATGGACAAAAGCAAAGCAGTGGGAGCACTGAATCCTGGGTTCTGGAGGACTCATGAGGTCTATAGGAAGAGTAGGGCATAGAGGATAAAGTCTTCTGGTAACAAACTTGAGATGTCTAGAAAGTTATGCAAAAGAGTTTGGACCTAGTTTGGCGGGCACTAGAGAACCTTAAAGGACTTAGAAGAAAAAGTCCCCCTTGGGTGTGGTCAGCTTCACACTACCCCAACAAGGATGTTGCCTCTTGAGATGTCCCTACTATCTGGTCAGGATGGAGTTCATCTGATGACTCCTTATTCACATGCTGCAGTAAGGGGAACTGACAATGGGGCTTTGTGGGCTCTGGAACCAGCTTCAAGAGCAGGCCTGCTTCCCTCAGAGACCAGGGTAGGGGTAGCCCTTTCCACTCAGAGGCTACTAGCCTCTATGACCCCATGGTGCCCATACCTGGGATGGTCACATGCCAAACCAGCACTGGATGGAGGAAGCAGGCCACAGACAGCAGCAGGTAGGCCAGGAACTTCTGAAAGCAGCCTAGCCAGTGGGCTTTCTCCCTTGCCTTGTAGGCCAATGAGCCTGGCTGACACCTGGGAGAGGGAGTCCAAGATTAGACAGAGGTTTTTATTGTTGTGTACAATTGAGTCAGATCCAACCCATAGCTGACTTTTCAGAGTTTTCAAAAGCAGTAAATGACACAGGAGGAGACTGTCAATCTTCCTCACACAGAGCAGCTGGTGGATTTGATTGGTGTGCCTAGGCATGGTAGCACCACTTCTTACCATTAGGCCACCAGAGCAGGTATTCTTATATTGTGAAAAACTCCTGCAATACCAGAGACTGCTTTGGCTTTAGCTCAGCTCCTGTCCCTCATGTAGTCTGTGAAAGAATTAACCAGGCTCTGCTTTGGTGATCATTCTATCATGGCCTGAGGGATAAAGTTCTGGAAGTTCTAGGGAAGTCCTCATTGTGGGAGTTCAAGACTAGGGATCTTGCATAAGCCCCTTCAGGAAGCTATGCTTTTTCTTGCCTCAGGATGGGCTCAGGCTCAAGTAGGGTATGCAGCATATCTTGCCAGGGAGGTGAACTGGGGACTAAGAGCTAGTCTCATGGCATGCCTTCATGCCTATAACTGCATCATTCTAGCAGGTTCTGAAGCCTAATGGGAACTGGGTTTCCAAAGTGGTGGGTCTCTAAAATCGAAAGGAAGAAAGTACTCATCATCTCCTCTGAACTTGCTGACAGTGGGTCACTTCAGCTATGCACAGCTGTGCCCAGCTCTGGCCAGGCTAACTTTTCAGGGTGTGGTGGAGGTAAGCAAGGTAAAGGGGAGCTCAGATCACAGTATGCTTAGCCAGCTGACCAACCTTAAAACCTTAATGCCCAGACAGTGTAAATTAGAGTGCTGTACAGTCACTGTCAGCCCCTAGTGGACACTCCTTGCTGGACAGATTTTAGGTCAGAGTTAGGGAAGTCTGTAGCAGATAAAAGCCCACTTTAGTTGCAGAGCTCCTTCCCCATGACCTCCTTAGTCTCAGGGACTCCATGGCAGTAGCAGACAGGTAGCAGAGATGGAGAAGGGCTGTTGACTCAAGGATAGTGACCCCGGGAGGCAGCCAGTAGCCATGCAAGGTGTAAACACTGCACTTTAACAGGGTGTGGGTCTGTAGTCCATGATTCTCAGGGACACCAGCAAGTAGCAGAGTAAACAGAAAACAGTTCTTCACACCCCTACTATGGGTTCTCCTATGCTTGTGTAGGCTTGGACCAGAACACAGTGATTGGATGTTGAGTTGTTTGGGGTTTGGGTTTTTTGGTGTGTGGACATTGGGCTTATCCCAGGGACCACGAACAGGAAAAGGCTTTCAATGAAGGCTTCAACTCACTAGTTTACTCCCTGTCTGAGAATAAGACAGAGAATGAGTGAATCTCGTCTACCTGGACAACAAACCTCTGGGTCAGCAGATCACAGCCCTCAGGAACGACAACTTGGTGTCAGCACAGGAAGTCCCATGGGCCATGATCTCCCTAGGGATGTCTGGAGCTGGGAATGAGTATTGGAGAGAAGCTTCATTTGCTATACTTACTGGAAGCAGGTAGCCAGCAGCTGAGCCATGAAGTAGGAACCTTCACACACAGAGACAGCGGCTCCAGTAAACCTGAGGAGCAGATAGATGAGGGGACCCTATCTTCACTCACCCACAGTTTTTCCCCTCTTGATCTTCTTAGTCTTCTGGGAATCTCAAGTTACCTGGTCACCTGGTTTTTTAGTCTGGGTCCTACTTCAACCACCAGCCAATATCTACCAGGTGCTGTCTAGGCACCAGGACTCAGGCTTGGCTGATGTGATGATCAATAAGGAAGGAGGTAAGGCTCAGAGATTGGGGAGAGGATGCTTCTGTGTATCTTTCTGCCTTCCGTTGCACCAGGTTTCACCAACCGCACTTCTGCTTGTGTAAACCTTAACACTAGATCCATTTCCTAGCCTACTATTCTTATTTTTCATTGTCTTAACCAGGACTTCGTGATTCTACTTCTTGAATACTTTTAAATTTATTCTCATTCTTTCAGATTCTACCAGCATTGCATGGCTATTCCTGAAGGCACCCGGTATCTAGTCTCCTGGCTCCCTGGCTCCATCTCCTGTTTTTCACAGTATTAGCACTGGGCTTGAGGGCTGTTTACTACACTGGTATTTGATTATATTTTTTCCAATTTAGATGCTTCGTGGCTCCTTATGTTCCAAATGTGGGCAGGGATCCTCCAACCAAATATCTCGGAGAATATGTGAAAATGTAGATTCCTGAGAAACCTCAAGTTTTTCATAACAGTGTCTTAGAGAATGAAACTTACAATGGCCTACAGAGATCACAGTTTGAGAAACCCTATGGGGCAAGTCTAATCTGTCCTGGACGGGTTAGTATGAGCTGCAATGGACTCCATTGCATGCATCAACAATGACCTTTGTAAGAGTTACTATGTACTCTGGAATACCTGCACTTGGACTTTATGGGGAGGCTGGACTTTACGAGGAGGAATGTTGCATAAGGATTGGAAGGAGACTCATCAATAACCTGTCTTATACAGATGACAGAAACAATCTTGCTTTTCAAAACTAAAGAAGATCTGAATGTTTGTTGCAGAAGGTCAAGGATGCAATCTTCAATATGGATGGAAGTTCAACATCAAGAAAATAAAGATTCTCACCACTGGGCCAACTGGCAGCATTATGTTAGATGGAGAAGAGATTGAGATTGTTAACAATTTCATCTTGCTCAATTTCACAATCCAGCATTCTTGGCAACAGTCAGGAAGTCAAAAGACAAATCACATTAGGAAAATCGATCAGGGACAGATCCAGAATGCTGAAGAGCAATGAAGTCAATCTAGAGACTAAGGTATACCTGGTCCAAGTCATAATCTTCTCAGTTATTTGCTGTATATCAGAGAGCTGAAAGATTACTAAGGATGACAGAAAGAGAATCAAAGCCTTTGAGTTGTGATGCTGGAGAAAAATATTGAAAATTAGATGGACTGCCAAGAGAACAAACAGGTATGTCTTGCAGAGGGTGAAATTAGGTTACTTATTGGAGGAAAAGATTTTGAAGCTCTGTCTCACATACTTTGGGCATGTTACAAAGAGGGACCAGCCTTTGGATAAGGACATCATGCTTGGAAGGGTAGATGGTCAGCATAGGAGAGGAAGACTCTGATGAGATGAATTGACTCAATAATGAGGTAATGTGAATAGATAAGAGCTAAAATCAATGAGATATAACACAGAAAAAGAACTGAAACCACCCATAAGATCAGCAGCTGTTTCTTTAAAAGGGTTAAAAAAATAGACAAATCATTGGCAAGCTTAATAAACACAAGAACAAAAAAAAGGGAAGACACAAATAACTTGAATAAGAAACAATAGAGGTGACATCACAAAAGAATCAGCTGAAATTAAATCTATAATATTGGAATATTATGAAAAGCTATACTCTTATAAACTTGAAAACCTAGAGAAATCAAACAAATTCCTTGAGACTCACCCTCTACCCAGATTCACAGGACAGATATAGAAATCTTGAACAGATTCATCACAAATGAAGAAATTGAGCAAGTCATTAAAAATATCCCCTCACCCTAAAAAAAAAATGATGGCCCCGATGGCATCATGGCTTAATTCTGCCAAATATTCAAACAGAACTATCACCAATTTTAGTTAAAATATTTTTTAAAAAACTAGAAAAGGAAGGGACACTAACAGAGTCAATCTATGAAGCAAGCATAACCCTAATACCAAAACCAGACAAATACATTATCAAAATAAGCCTTACAGACCAATATCTCTCATGGTTATAGATAAAATTCTTAATCAAACTATGGTCAATAGAGTCCAACTGTGTGTGTGTGTATACTTATATATATATATATACACACGTGCACACACACACACACATACATATACATACCAGTATATATGTATATGTGTGCATATATATATACACACACCAGTAAATAATATATGTATATATGCACATGTATATGCACCACTATACATCATATGTGTGTATATATATATACTAGTATATATGTATATATATACACACACATATATGTACCAGCATATATGCATGTATGTGTATATTGTGTATATACACACACACATACATATACACTGGTGTGTATATATATATATATATATATATATATATATATATATATATATATAAAACTGTTGTTGTTGTTATGTGCCGTCCAGTCACTCGCGACTCATAGCAACCCTATGTACAACAGCCCTAAACTCTGCTCTATCCTGTGCCAGTCTCACTGCCTCTGACACACTCATTTCAATTACCCCAGTCACTGAATTAATCCACCTCATAGAGGGTCTTCCCCTCTTGTGCCGTCCCTCCACCTTCCCAAGCATGATGTCCCTCTCCAAGGACCTCTCCCTCCTTACAACATATCCAAAGTATGTCAGACGAAGCCTCAGAATTCTTGCCTCCAAGGAGCAGACTGGTTTAACCCTCTCCAGGGTGAATCTGTTTATTTTCTTGGCAGTCCAGGGTACATTCAATGCTCTTCTCCAGCACCACAGCTCAAAGGCATCAATTCTTCTATCCTCCTTAGTCACTGTCCAACTCTCTGATGCATAACAAGTGATTGCAAAGACCATAGCCTGTATCAGGCGCACCTTAGTCTCCAGAGAGACACCATTGCTCTTCAGTACCCTGGAGAGGTCCCTAACAGCAGACTTTCCCATCGCAATACGTTTTTTGATTTCCTGGTTACTGGTGCCAAGACTGTTGACCATGGAGCCAAGCAGACTAAAGTTGTTAACAATCTCAATCTCTTCACCATCCATCCTGATGCTGCCAATTGGTCCAGTGGTGAGAATCTTTGTCTTCTTAACATTGAGCTTCAATCCATACTGAAGGCTGCAGTCCTTGACCCTCTGCAGCAAGCACTTCAGGTCCTCCTCACTGGTATATTTATGTACATATACATATACATATACACATATACATATATTATATATTGCTATATATACACACATATACATAATATACTGGTATATATGTATATGTGTATATGTATATACATATATATGTATATAACACATATATACTGGTGTATACATATGCATATATACTGGTGTGTACATATACATATACAGTGGTGTGTGTATACATATACACATACACATGCATATACACTGATGTGTGTATACATGTACACATACACATGCACATGCACATACACATACACATACATATACATATACATATACATATACATATACATATACACTGGTGTGTGTATATATATGTATGCATGTGTGTGTAAAGAGGTGGTAAAATTGTTGCTATTTGCAGATGATATGATAGTATATATAGAAAAATACCAAGATCTCAACAACAAATTTAGACCAATTGGTAAAGTGGCAGGATACAAGATCAACATATAAAAACTAGTAGGATTTCTCTACAGTAACAAAGCAAACTCAGAAAAGGAAATTAAGAAAGCAATACCCAGCCAACCACAAGTTGTGATACTTGGGAATAAACCTAACTAGACAAAGGACCTTTATAAAGAAAACTACAAACCATTACTGTGAGAAACAATAAGAGATCTAAATAAATGGAAAAATGTTTTCTACTCACAAATAGGAAGACTCAATATGGTGAAAATGGCAATCCTACCAAAGCCATCTACATATTTGATGAAATCCCAGGACAGATACTAAATTAATTTTTCAAAGAGATAGAAAAGGCAATTGGCAACTTTACTTGGAAAGGAAAGAGGTTATAAATAAGCAAAACACTTTTGAAAAACAAGAATGCAGTGGGAGACATAGCACTCCCTGATCTCAAAACCTACAACACAAGCTTTAATATCCAAAACAGCATGGTACTGGTACAATGACAGACACATAGCCCAATGGAAGAGAATCAAGAACCCAGACATTAACATATCTACTTAAGGTCAGCTGATTTTCAAAAAGGAAGCAAAACTTGAAAAATGGGGAAATGACAACCTCACAAATGGTGCAGACAAAATTGGACATCTACATGCTGAAAGGTGAAGCAGAATCCACACCTCATACCATACACAAAAATCAACTCAAGGTGGATAAGAGACCTAAGGGTAAAGATCAAAACTACAAATACCATAAAAGACAAAATTGGACCAAACTAAGAAGGCCTAGCTTAAAGGCATCACAGCTCTATGGTATAAATAGTCTGTCAAATAAAGCCAGATATACACAACAAGGAGAGAACAACATTGGTGAAAGGAATCTTTTAAACATTAAATCTCTCTGTGTATTAAAGATGTTTTCCTATAGGGTGAAAGGAAAACTTATTGACTGGGAAAACAATCTGTCAGTGACATTGCAGACAAGGGTCTTATAATGAAAGTTTACAGAGTTCTATAGAGCCTCCACAAGTTCCAATGCAATAGTCATTGTCTATCCACTCTTGTCCTGTTTTCCTCCCAACCCCCATGTCAGATATGCTTTATAACAGTGATACTATGCTGTATTTGTCCTTTTGTGAGTAGAATATTTCACTCAACATGATGTCATCTGAGTCCTCCATGTTGTATAGTGTACAAAGTCATGATTTTTCAGTAATGCATAGTACATGCATTGTATAAATATACC